ATAATTATAAATCTAATGTACACTATTAATCTTTTTAATATCTCTAATTACTAACTATATTGCTGTTGATGTATTTGATAGTGGCAAGGCGCTCGAAGGCTATCTGCCTAAGGGGAGGGATGTCTTCTTGGAGGACTTTCTAGGGGAAACTGGCTGGTATACACGTTAAACATGGGAAAAATCCACGAAAACATCCAAGCAGCCAGCCCGTTCGCAGGATTCGAATCTCGGACCGAACTACCAGTGTTAAGCGACTTACTACCGCTGGTGGGCTCAGTAACTAAATTAATTTCATAGCTTCTTAAGCGCACGTACATTTTAGTGCATCATCATTTAAGAATATTTAGTCAACGAAAAATTTAAAAGCATGTAAATTAATAAATGAAAATTTTAATTTTACTTGCCCTCTACATAAGAACTAAGGGTTCGAGTAGCTGGAGTCATGAAATAAAGATAACTGAAGCACTTTTGCATTTCACGTTTCCCTAATAATAGTTCTTTTGGTGTTATTTACTCCAGGTTATGGAAATGTAGCTCCCAAGTCCATGTGGGGCAAAGTTTTCTGCATCATCTACACATTTTTTGGACTGCCTCTCAACCTGGTCATGATGCGACTTCTCAGCCTGAAACTCAGACGCGGATTGAGGAGAACTCTTAAATTCGTCCAGCAACGTTATCCCCTGAAAATTTGGCTTTTGTGGCTGTCCGGGATGCTCTTCTATTTAGTCTTCATCATAGTATTCTTCCTCGTGCCAGCGGGTATATTTACTTATGCAGAAATGTGGACTTATGCTCAAGGAATTTATTTTAGCTTCGTTTCTCTAGCAACAATTGGCCTCGGCGATTATGTGGCAGGTAAAGACACATTTTAATTCATTAATTATATCACCATGCAGGTTATTTAATAATATTATGTTTTCTGGTAAAGAAACATAGTGGAACCTTGAGATACCGCACCTGTATATACGAGGAAAGTATGAGCGAAAAATTCGTCTCTAAATACGAGCATTCACTCGAGTAACGAGCAACGAGCCAGGCTGTTGGTATGCGCGGCGCGTGTCCCGATCCGGCTCTACTCGGGGAATAGCCTCATCAGATCACTCAGTGTTCTTTGATCTACATGTGTATGCGCTTGTTAATTGTTATTTTACATTTAACGCGAAAATAATTATTCCACGATGCTTTTCAAGAAGATTGTTGCCTCAGATAGTACTGAAAAGAAAACGAAGGAAGCCATAATCCGTTGAAATTAAGAAAGAAATCATAGATAAACATGAGCGTGGTTGTAAGAGTGCTGGAATTGGCAAAGACTTACGACCGTTCGACATCGACGATCTGCACTATTCTCAAGAAGAAGGACGAAATTAAGAAACTTGATGTGGCCAAAGGAGTTACCGTTATTTCCAAGCACAGTCCAAAATTCCTAGAAGATGTTGAGAAGGCGTTGTTGGTGTGGATTAACGAGAAGCAGTTAAAAGGCGATTCGGTAACAGAAGTTATCATTCGCGCTAAGAATTTTCACGTACTTCGACCTTCTACCCAAAACATCAGGAACGTCAACTGAAGATGAGATGGCAATGAGATCTTTGGGGGTGAGGAACGGATTGACTGGATTTCCATTATTTTCAATGGGGAAGTTTGTTTTAGATACGAGAAATTCGCTATACGAGCTCAGTGCTGGAACGAATTAAACTCTTATCTCGAGGTTCCACTGTATACTATGTTGCCAATAATGACTAGATACCAGTAAGAAAATGTTTATCTGAAGCTTAAATGGGGGAATAGTAATGTAGGCCCACCATTCGCAGCTATCACAGCCTTTCCCTTTTGAGAAACTTTTGAATACGTTTCAATATCAATACAGCAAACCCGACTGCAGCATTCAGCAGAACTGCCAGATTTTGGGCGCAGTTGAATGTATATGTGACAATAGGCAACTCCTACGTACGACTGCCATAAACTTGATTGAACCTGAATTTATACACTTTAGCTCCAGTTTTCTTCTTATTGCGTTTATTTTATCTCAAATTGTAATCAAATTAATACTTTGGTTTTGTAATTCAAAATTAAATTCATGACTTTTTTAAAAGTACAAATAAATACGTAAATTCTCCAACCCTTTCATGTAAATTTTGAATCAAGAGATAAACTATTTGAATTCTGAATTTAAATTTTCTTTATTTGAGAAATAACACCGGAATATTTTTCTGGTGAGCCCCGTCACTGCATACAACAGTGCACTTATTTCAAGGAATGTCATTATGAATCTAACATGAAGAGGTTCACAAAATAATTACTCTTTGGTAATTCGCTTGTCTTCGTCGAAACGTATGTAAACTAATAATTGAACAAAGTTCGTTATATCAATACTTTCATCTAATTGTTATTCGAAATAATCACGGTGTTTTATTTTTTGAATGAATGTATCTTTTATTGAATTTGCCATTTCATAATTTCGTCGACTTACTGTATCATTTGATAACGAAATATTATTAAGTTCATTATGAAGTAACAAAAACTTTCGTTACTTGTTTACTGTTTTTGAACTCCAATAATTTCCTCTTAAACTATTCTTCAGATTTATCCTTTAAATTTGCATGTGCTTAGATTCAAGATGTCTTTTTAAGAAACGGTGCGTTCATATTTTGATTGGATAATAGTCCCTCAGAGACAATACATTGAGGTTGAGGGTCCATTGCATCTCCATTACAAATAAACCCAAATGATAAAATAACTTTCATTACTTTTCTATAAACAATTTTCATTTCTTTTCGATATTCTTAGTGCTAATAGATCGTCCTGGACCATCCTTTTTACGCTTAAGCATTCCTAGCCAATTTTACATTTCGAAAAATCTAGGTTTTTTTTTTATTATTTTTTTACATATATTTAAATGCACAGTATGTTAGGAGTTCTTCCAAAGCAAATGACGATATTCTCAAATCGTGTAGAAAAGGGAGGAATACAAAGCAACAAGAAGACAAATTACCTGCTCTTAGAAACAGCAAATCGAAGTAAGAAAATGGTTCTAATTGAAAATAAAGCAACATCAGCCCATAAATGGTGACGAATAAAGTGCAAACATAGTAATTAATCGTTAAAATCTGAAAGAATTAATGAGATACCATTAATCTTATTTTTATTTCCTATTAAATACAGCATGCATGTCTATTACTTCTATTAAAAACATCAATTACGTCAAAAGTTTGACCTACTGTTCACTACTTTGCCGATTAAAACAAGTAATATAATAAAAAAAAATTTAAAGTCAATTCTTAGGTCAACAAAGAAAAATGTTATTTTAGATACGTTTTATTAACATTATTAACAATTTTTCGTTTCTAATTTATGAAGCTGATGGTGGTCTATATAATTTCTCATTCTATCCATCCCTTGTAATGCTTCATTATTGCAAGGAACCTTTCCAGTGAGTTTCCGAGCAGTTCAGTTCTTCAATTAATATTCCATCTCATGATTTCACACGACTCAAGGCGACATATGCTTGACCTGCTACGAAGAGTTTTTGTCCTAGATATATTACTATTGAATGTTCGCTACATAATGGGACATTACATCCGCTTCATCCAACTTTATAAAACTACAATTCTTTAACTCCATACACTTTAAAAATCTTTAGAACTCTGCTTTACTGTTGCCATTTATTTTTATTAAATATGACAATCCCATTGATCACAGTCATGTACTATTATTTATAAGTTATTATAAAATTAATTTTTTCAGCACGTAAGAATTCCTAATAAACGGTCGTTATTTGTAAATCTTATAATATATTTAATAAAAACAGCCTATCTTTAGTTTCGATAAACAGGAATGAATAATTAGGAATTGACTTTAAATATGTCAAAACACTGTATAAATATCAAGTGTCATCCACTACAAGTTTAAAAAAATGTATTTGAACTTGAGTGGTTGAATAAAAAGTATTTTATTAACAATTGAAAGTTTGAACAAGATATAGGGAGAGTGTGAGCTAATAGTAGGAATTTAATAAAGTCTGTTGGCAATTCCAGTTCTGTGAAGATTGAAAACTGAGATTAGATTCCGTTTTGATAAGCGTATGTTTGAAGGCGAAGCTTATAAGTCTGTTGTGAAGATATATTTAAATTGTTGAATTTATACCAGTGTGAAAGAAAGCTTTGAGCTTTCGAACGGGTTGACTGCATGGGAATTATTCAGTGTCACGTGAATACAAGCCAGTTTCCTTTAAGAAGGCATCCTTATTTCATCATTATTTCCGAAATTCACATAATTTAGAATCTAAATTAATCATCGTTAAACTTAAGTGTTTTGTTAATACTCTCATTTAAAAACGAAATAAATGAACTGAAAGGGAAGAGGAAAAAAATAAGTAAATGAATTCATTAGGTTCTTTACACGATCTTTCTGCTAGCATAGAATATTAAGTAGTAGCAACCTGAAGAGAAATATATCACTTTGAAATTTATATTTAGGCAGCTTTTTCTAACGTAGATTGAGGTAGGCTTTGTAAAGATCTGTATGGATTTCAAGGACAACTGACGCGAGGCTCTCTTCTTTAAGGACCAAAAATATTAAGCTAATCTCTTATTATATTTGGTAAAACTATTTGTTTGTTCAGGGAAAGAAAAAAGAAAAAAAAGTTTAGGATTAACCGTAAACGGTTACACTATTTTAAAATACGTTTGCTTTTTGAAAAAGAAAAGGTTTTGCTTTCCTTTTGCTACAATCATCCTCGAAATGCATAGAACATTTTTTTAAGCAAAATTATCCCGAATTTAATATGTTGTTGTTCTTTCAAATGGCTGTACATTTGCAAATTAATTCATTCATCGAGAATGGACAGTATTAATTCTTCATTTAGCCATCTCATCATCGAGAAAGCTACCCAGGAAGCACCACAGGGGATACCGAATTACACCTGTGGGAAAGGTAAGTTCTGTCCAATTTTAATCGCGAAAACCGTCCTAGAGGAACGGATCTCAAGATCTCTTACTCCTTATCACCGAGCCTGTCGAAGCACTTCCGGCTGGCCAGTATTTTAATTGCCCCCATGCCACATCCGTGCTATACACTTCCAACACCCAAGCCTTTTCCGGGATCCTACAGTCAACATAACAACCACTATAACCATCAGGGAGTTCACCAATTTTTTTAAATGCAGGATTTTTCTTAAGTGTAAACATTAAAGTACTTTTAAAAACATTTTTACAAGGCTTGAGCTTCCTTTAATAATTCAATGAACGTTAATTAGCTGATGCTACTACTAAATGACCTTGAACTTCAATAGGCAGGCTAAATGGAACAATTTAAATTTTGTTTTAAGAGCAATAATTTTAAATGCACGGCAACCGAATCTTGCAAAATCGCAAACTGCCTTATAGGAAGGGCGGAGGAAAAATTTTTGATCAGTGAGTTAAGAAACTTGTCATCTCGATTTAAAAAAATTATTTTCATTGGCTTCATGCAAATGCGGATTTTAATGAAAACTAATGGTCTTGGTATATTGCATGCAAAATAAAGGTATGTGGAATCTTTCATCAGTAGGTGTTTTGGGTAAAACCTGTCATGCTGGGAGAGATAGATTTCCTTGTATATTATGGTTCGAAAAAATTCCTGATGAGAATCGTATCCAAAGCTGTATAGAGATTCAGAGGTATGGTGCTGCCATCTATTGTCAACTTTGCTATCTGAACGCAGAAACCCAAAAAGCATTTCAATAATCTTTTTATTATTATAGTACTGCCATCTGCTGACAAAAAAAGAAATATTACTATTATTCATTTTATTTGTCCAAGCTTCTCCTGAAAAATAAGAATGAGAAGCTTCTTTATATCACACAAAATATATTAAAAAGTAAATTAAAATCAGCCGCTTTCTAGTGTACTAAAGTTAATGTTTCTCAATATAATCAATCGTATTTGAAAGGCAGAATTTTTTAAAAATTTTCTTTTATTAAAAGGTTATGTGTTCAATGGCACTTCATTCGTATAAGTAATTAAATTAATAAATTATGAATCTTTTATGATGGTTTGAAATTGACATTCCAGTAATTTATTGTCTTCTAATACCTTAATAACAGATAGTCTTATTCCACAGGTGAAAATTAAAATTTCCTTAACTAAATAATCCTCTTAAGCATTTTTGAAAAATTTTCCTTAAATTCAGTTCAACAGCAATATCGCAAAATAATACATTATAAGCATTATTTTCTTCACATTTACGTCATATGCTATATTACGGCAAAATTACAAAAATTTTAAAAGCAGCTTACCAGTATACTTTTAGAATTCCCGACGCAGTGCTGCGAGCAAGTGTTTGCATACATCTTTTTGCTGTTTCAGTCTTTTCTCAATTCGTCGTCTATATCAATGTTCCGTTTCCTTACTTAGATGGCTTTACAAAATTTTCTTTTGTCATTTTATTATTAACGTTTTTTATGTTAAAAAGTATTTTCTCCCTCCTTCGTGGTGTAACAGTAGCACACTTGGCGCGTATTTGATAAGTCTCGGTTCGAGTTGCGACGAGGGCATTTTTTTTTTATTAAATATCTCCTTCTTGGTTCTTAAGCCACATAAAATTTGATTCAACAGCAAAATCACAAAATATTTAAAAGCAGCATCTCTTTAGAGTTTCCGATCGACATTTCGGGCGCTGGAAATAAAAATGTTTTTATCTGTACAGTATTGCCACTGCTGGCTTTGAAATCGCTGAGTTTATTAGTAAAAAATTCGGTAAAGATTTCCGGAATATGAAATAGATAATAAAAGAAATTCAAAATTCGGGCTTCCAGGTTCCCATTTCGGGTGGAGGACTATGTTATTCAAAATTTGGTAGCTATAGGTACCGAAGGTTTCAGCATTTTCACAATGAGAGAATGCATTCATTCACAATGCATACATTCATGTTGATTCTTCATTATTTAATTTCTTTAAATATAATTCAGGGCGACAATATTTGGTAGCAACGGTTTGAAAAGTGATACGTTTTTTACAGTGATTCAATGGAAAATGCCATCTCGAGACTAATATCCCATAGGGTACTAATGCCGCTTATTGGCTATAAAGGTGGGCTAAAACATTAAGTGCAAATTTTTTTTTTTTTTTTTTTTTTTTTTTTTTTTGTTTTTTTTTTTTTTTTTTTTTTTTAGAAATCGTGGTCTTATGCTATAAATCTACTTGCAGATGTGTCTTCAAGTCGTTCAGAACAAACTTTTTATCCAATTTATGTGGTCCTCATGTTGATCTGGCTGGTATTTGGCATCGCATTCCTTTCAATGACCGTGAATTTGCTTTCTTATATACTTGGAAGCAATCTTCTGGATAAGCTGGATTGCAAGTGCAGGGTCAGATACTCAGCGAAGAGTACATTGAGACCTGTCATTTCCAACGTCGCTGAACTAAACTGGCAGTTAGCCAAGTATACACCCTTGGTGAGGATTCAATATTATAATATTGTTTTTATTTAATTCATTTCGAATTTGACAAATATAACGTATGATTTCTTTTCCCAGGGATTTAGAAATTCCAGAAATGTTCAAGAATTCGAAGAACTTTGCATTTCGAATCCGCAAAATGTCACACCACACAATTTGAAAAGCATGTTAAATTTAATTTATGACTTGAGGGAAGTATGCTATGATCAGCTTGAAATCTTGGACTTAGACGAATCTGATGCTATTGAAAGTCAAATTGAAATCGTCACTGACACTGAAGATGACTAATTAAGGGCAGCAAAGGGCGACTAACGGCAGCAAAGTTGTAAAGCTAAACAATCAAGGAATATTTACAGATTTGCATAAAAACCGCTAAAGTAAAAGTCGTAGAAAAGTATGTTCATCCTATAGTGCAGAACATAGTATACAGGGCGATTCACTACCAGATCGACAAACTTGCAGGATGTGTAGAGGGTACAAAGACGACTCGGAATCACGTAGGAATGCAGGGTCGCAAATGCCGTAGTTTCGAGCTATGGTGCAAAAAAGCAGAAAAAAAGATCAAAAGCAGCAACACATTAATGGGACAGAAAATATTTTATTGAAAGTTTGTACTCCAACAGGTGTTCGAAAGTACTACCAGAAGTCGTCTGGCAGACCTGACAACGGCGCTGCATGGAATTCCTTACGTTCTGGAAGATTCCTGGCATGTTACGTATCCTCTCGGCAGCAACAGATATTCGAGCGACTAGGTTTTTAACTTAAGGAACGGGCATCTCGTACACCAAACTCCTCATGTGATTCCAGAAGAAGAAGTCCATACATGATAGGTCCAGCGATCTGGCAGGCCATTGAACCTGACCACAACGACCTATCCACCGCTGTCCAAAGGTTATGTCGAGGTGTCGGCGGACGTTAATCGTGTAATGTGGAGGAGCCCCGTCATTCTGGTACCACATGAACCTGCAGCAGACCTATCATCTGGGACTTCTTCATCCAGAACTTCTTCATCTGGAGAAGGACTGCATGGATTTCTTCATCTGGGGTCACATGAAGAGCTTGGTGTACGAGACGCCCGTTCCTTCAGTTGAAGACCTCGTCTCTCGAATATCTGTAGTTGCCGGGAGGATGCGTGACATGCCAGGAATATTCCAGAACATAAGGAATTCCATGCAGCGTCGCTTTCAGGCCTACCAGACGACTTCTGGTCGCAATTTCGAGCACCAGTTGTGGTACAACTATTCAATAAAATGTTTTCTGTCCCATTAATATGTTGCTTCTTCTGTTCTTTTTCTCTGCTTCTGTGCACCATAGTTCGCAACTACGGCATTTGCGACTTTGCATTCCTATATGATTCCCAATCGTCTGTGTACCCCCTACACACCCTGCAATGTCGGTCTGGTAGCGAATTACCCTCTATATAACATTCGAAAATAAATGATAATGGTAATAATAATAATTTCTCAATTCTTGATAAACTATTACTATGAAAAGGAAAAAATAATCCCTATTTTACAATCAGATTAAATTTTAAAAATATTCAAAATATTGTACAATATTAGAAAAAATTATCATTTGTCCCTGAATGGCTATCCACATAGATTTAAGAGTGGTGGGAAAAACCCTGAGAAGTGTATATATAGAGAGACAGAATAAGTTTCTAGATGAAAGATAAAACTATTAAGGAAAAGAAGATAAACTATTAAGTATCAGTGAAATCCTTTAAAATGTTCATCACTGTTTTGAAATAATTGCTAAAATATTTTGCTGCAGGAAACACAATGATTCCAGCACGCAAAGCAGTATTTTAAGATCATGTAATTTTCGCAGAAATTCTATAAAACTGTCTTAAATTATTTGTCTAGAAAAGACCTTGTCTAGAAAGAACTCATTGTGACTAACATTAAATCTGAGTTTATAGTAATGTGTGTTGAAAGAGTTGATGTAGAACTAAATAAATCATTAACATACAAATGGTCTAGTTTCATTCTTTTGTATCACGTTTCTGAAAAATGTCTAATTCTGCTATGTTGCTATAGATGCACTTCATTTTGTGTAAACGTTTAAAAGAAATAGCCTTAGGTATATTTTGACCGTCTTAAACGCAACCTTCGCTGGCATTCTGCCAAAACACGTAGACTCTTTCAAAAGGGGAGGTTATTACTTGCTGCGGCGTGGAAGGTCACGTGAAAGTCGTCTCTTCTCCGGAAAGAGAGAATTTATACTCCTCGATTTGAAAAAATACCCACCCTTTTATCCTATTTTGTGAATAATTCGGTCCGAAGGCGCATGTGTGTTTGCGCTCATGGTCACGGATGAGGTAGTCGAACTATGTTAAGAAATACGCACCTTTTTATTGAAAAAGATATGTACTTACGTCAATACAGTCTGATAACATCACACACACCATTAAAAAAATCTGAAAGGTTTCAGATTTTAAATTACATCCAAAGGGGCGTTTTTTTAACGTTTTGTGTGGTACCTTTATTTATTAAATATCATGTTCTTTGCACTTAAACCAAAAATTCAGTTCAACAGCAACGTCGCAAAATAATTTAAAAATGAGCCTATCTTTAGAATTTCCGATACACAGTTCCGCGCGCTGGAGATGAAAAAGTTTTTTTGCCCCGTAGAGTGTTGCTATTGCTCGCTTTTAAATCGTTGAGTTCGTTAAAGTTTTAAAAAATATGAAATCGATAATAAAACAAATTCCAAATTCCAAATTTGGTCTTCCACATGCCCATATTCGCAGGGGATTACGTCTTTCAAAATTCGATGGCTCTATGTACCGTTGTTTTATCACAATGCGAGAAATATACATACATTTATGCAGATTTTTCATTATTTAATTTCTTTAAATATAACTCGATAATCGACTTTTGTGGCAACAGTTGAAAAGTGATCGCTATTTCGTGAATCGCTACAAAATCGCAAACCTGGATCTTCAAAGCTCTGATTATTTATTGCTAGTGTAAAATGTTTTTTCACCATTTGCCACTTCGTCAATACGCCGTCCCAATATGTACTACATAGTGAGTTACAGTAAACTATGGGCCTCAGTGTTGTACAAGAACTTTAGTGTTTAATTTCTCAGACAAGACTTCACTGAATTGTGATATCTACTATTTCAAGATGCATTGGGTGTGGACAGTTCACGGGGGGATCCACGTGACTACCACTGTCCAATCTGTGTTTTACAGAAAGGATGATTTGAATATTTTGTTTAGCTCTTGTTGCACTTAGTTGTGCCATTTGTTATTTTAGATCGCGATATTAGTTTAATTATTTCCAATCTAGATAACCTGTTTCTAAACTTGATAAGATTAATATTTCCAAATTTCTCATTGTACGCGTAGCTGGTGACCACCCACGTGACAGGCTCTGCCAATCATCTCCCTTACTCCACCTACATTTCACAAAATTTGACAAGTTTCGCCTAGTTGGCGCGGCGTAAATCGCCTTAATTAAAAACTTAAGTACCAACGCCTTAGGGCAATTTACCAACAGAGACGGTTAAAGTAGCGGTTGGCTACTAATTTCCGCCTAGCCATTGACTCGATTTCGATTTCGAAATCGCAAAACGGAAACAATAGTCCTTCAGGGACAAAATCCCTTTGAACTAAAAAAAAAAAAAAAAAAAAATAAAAAAAAAAAAAACACGAAAGCCAAATTGTCACACAATGATAGCAAGCTACGAGATTTGAGATTATGTGCGAGTTTGTATGAACCGAAAGCAAATACCTTTTTAACTAAAACTTTAAATATATCTGAAATTAAAGTTTAACAGACGTTACAGTACAGTGCAACGTCGCAATCTGTAGCTGTGCACCGTTACATTTCCGAAAAGTGAATATGCAGAGTTGAATCGTCGCGTATTAATTGCGAACACCTTTGGGTATACAGGCGGCAATTTATCTTATACGTGTGAACGAAATGTCATTTCGTACTAATTAATTGATGCCTTAAAACTTTCTAATTGGAAAATTTGTTATATGTCTTTTCGTTTTCGATTTGCAATATCTATCTTCCAAACTTTGCCACTAGGGGCGCTGCTGTCGTTCGCATTAGTCGGGCGTAGTCGCCTTACTATACCGTTTCCTCACATGCATAACTGTAGCTCTCTCCGTTTGGTTTAGGTACTTAAGTATTAACACAAATACCTTAGTAGAAATCGCCAAATTTTCAGAATGTGCCAAACTCTAGCAACCATGCGCATAACCGTTCATCCGGCAACCATACTCATAACAATTCTTCAATCAAGCAAACACCGCCATTTTCGTTTGCGTTCTTTTTTGTTTGTTTTCCCAAGTTCGAATACTTTTTATGAACAATTGGGGATATTTTTTGCCTTAAGTTTTAAAATATGCCTTTGTTGAATTTGCCAGCCTTGGAAGAAACTGTGGTAAAAAATTTCCAGAAATACAGCATTTTGCTGAAAACTTTTTAAAGGGTAGAACGCCACTGTTACCCGAGGATTGCACGAAGACGAGTCTCTGCAAATCTGTGATTTTTTTAAAGCGAAAACAGACCGTTGTGTACTTCAGGAGAAGAATCCCACGAAATAATTGAGAAAGATATGAAGAAGCTTGTAAGTATTTTATTTTTTAAATGTATCTCATAGTTGCAAGTGTTTTATTTTCAAATGTATTACATATTTGTAATTGTTTTATTTTTTTAATGTATCACATCCTTATTTAATAATTCAAATTTATATTTTAAATTGCTAAAGTATGTTTTCTTTTCATATGCTGATAATGGTTACCGAATTACGATACATACCGATATCTAAAAAAAGGGCGAGGAAACTGCCAGCTTCCACCCGAGAAGTAATTTTGACCTTTTCATCTGTAAAAAATCGCCAAAATGCGCCAAGAGAATTGCGTTAATGCTTTAAGTACCCAGATTTATACCTAATTAAACAAAACTCTCGTACAAAATTAAAAATTTATTCAAAAATACAGATGTATTTGCTATGCATCGCATTCTACATGATGCGTATCACACATATAAAAATCCACATTATATTTAAAACGGGAAATACCTAGAAACGTGAAATATAACCTAAGTCTAAAATTCATCACAGTTTGTGCTGCACGTTTAAAAAACAAGTAATATCACAACAGATGTGATCTAAATTATATTTTTATATCTTTGCTTATTTTCTGTGCAGAATTCCAAAGACATCTTCATGATAACGTCCGTTTTCCTGAAAAAATGAAATTTTCAGTCAGGTTTTGAAGTACATTTGAAGTATATTACATTAACTGAAAAAATCGAAAATCTTGGAATTAACAATTAAAAGAAATGTTATGATAAAAAAAATCAAAACCAATTATTTAAATACAAGCTATGCTAATTTGGATACCAAAGATTTAACAAAAACTGAAAAAAAAAAAAAAAAAAAAAAAAAAAAAAAAAAAAATCTGAAAGCTTTCATATTTTACATTACGCCCAAAGTTGCGTTTTTTTAACGTTTTGTGTGTTACTTAACTATAAAATTCAATTCAACAGCAATATCTGAAAATAATTTTAAAATTAGCGTATCTTTAGAATTTCCGATTCACAGTCTCGCGTGCTGGAGATAAAATGTTTTTGTTTTTCTGTACAGTGTTGCCATTGATCGCTTTAAAATCGTTGAGTTTGTTAATCAAAAATTCGTTTAAAGTGTCTGACAAAATATGGAAGCAGATAAATAAAACAAATTTCCAAATTCCAAATTAGGGCTTCCAGATGTCCCATATTCGAGTGGAAGGATTACGTTATTCGAAATTGGATGATTCTAGGTATCGTTGTTTAATCACAATGTGAGAAATATATATACATTATGCAGATTCTTCATTATTTAATTTCTTTAAATATAATACAGTGTGATAATATTTGATGGCAACAATTTGAAAAGTGATTCGCCGTGATTCGTTTTCAACGCAAAATGCCAAAACGAAATGAAAAGTCCTTCTGAGCCAATTGCCCCTTTAGACTGAAAATAAGACGAAAAAAAACTTTCATTACTAGTAAGCGTGACGTAAACGCTATTGCTTATGAATTTTTTTTCGTTGATAAATAGTACCATTTAACTACGATTTGATAAATTTTATTCATTCTTTATTTGAGGAATAATATTCTTAAATATTTGAACAAATACCAGACATCAATGAAAGGCAAAACATAAGTTTTCCTCACAAGAGAAAATAAATTAGACGATGCTTTTAACTTTGTAACCTTGACAGAGAAGTGCTATGAAGAAGTAAACACATTTTCTTCAGCAAATGTAACAAGATTTCTTACGCAACAAGACAGAATTTAATTACAGAGTTGTTTATCATTGCGACAAACGTTATATAGAAGCAATATATAAAAGAAAATAATGCCTGCTTGGAAGTTGTAAGGAGGGAAAATTTAGGCTTAGAGTTCTTCTAGTGGTTTTGTTTGGTTTGGTTTATTCGATTACGGCAAAGCACTCGAGGGCCTAAGTGGAGGAATGCTTCGTGGAGAATTTTCTATGAGAAACTGGCTCGTCTAGGTGTTATACATGGGGAAAGCCTACAGCCGATTGGCGTCGTTGACTGCCGTGCCGAAGGGCCCGGATCCGAATCTCGGAGGAAGCATGGATGTTTGTAAATGTATAGTGTCCGTGCGAGATGGGGCGTTCTAAATATGCGGCGAGCCGAAAGTCCTCTCGAGAGATTGGTGGTAGGGAACGAGGGGTGGAAGACCCTCGGAAACGTCCCCCCGGGGTGCTCTCCATCAAAAATGGCGGACGGAACTGAGCTAAATCGCACTGTAACCTGTAAGATGCTCAAAGCTGTTGCCAACGACAGACGTATCTGCTTGGCTGATTATAGGTTAGACAAGCGAGCATTAGTCGACAACAACACGGAGAAACCCCCGAAAACGCTCATGCAGCCAGCTCGTTAGCGGAATTCTAACTTCCGACCGACCGAACTACCATTGTTAAGCGAATCTACCGTTCTGCCATTGGTGGGATAGATTTTCTTCTATTAAAAAAGCTTCAGTCTAAGATTCAGTTTCGTCTAAATTTTACAAAGGTCTGAATTTGACCACAATAATTTATTATAAACTTGTGACGAATTATGGCATTTCCTGTACGTGTTCTCGAGTCGTAAGTGGTTAGTACGCCCGGGAGGACTCCTGGTTTGAGTCCCAGGGAGGCACAATTGATTTTTATGTTTCCTGCTTCAAAACGTGTAATTGCTTTTACAATGGCGCTCGATCTATGATGTGGTGAACTATAATTCATCTGTATTTAGTCGACAGAAGCGAATGCACTAATAACTAATCTTGAGTCCACTAATCTTAAGTGCAATAATAACTGTAATGTACTGATTATCTATTACAGTTTTAAGTTAAACCGATTTTCGTCAATAGCATTATTCGATAGATTTCGCACTGTAGATTGATTTTCATTTCTTTCTGTAATCTATCTATATATATATATATATATTATATAAAGAAGAATGTCTGCGTGTTTGTTTGCGTTATTGATTTCTGATTAATTATGATCCATTTTTTTTGCCACATTTAATCGACTAAAATTGAATATAGGTGAAATATTGCTTATAGCTTTTAGACCATCTAATTAGAAAGACAAAAATCACTAACAACTGCGTGCCATTGTTGCTGATGTAATGAGAGAGAACTAGTATATTTTTGTATCGAAATTTTTTATGTGGGTTCCATATCGCATCAGGCTGGAAAATGTATGACTCTGAATCGTATTTTTTCATCGTTTTTAGAGAAGGATTACAGCGGTATCGCTCCCTCTCTGTTGTTGGACACATTACTGTTAGTCTAACTTAACTGGCCTCGGGTACTTCTACTAGTTTTACCTAAATTGAGAACATTACAAAAATTTAGAAAAACGCGTGGATTGAATTTAAAGACTATTCCAGCAAATAATTTTTACTAAGGCATTCTTTCTAATAATATGTTAAAATCTGAACACCGTTAAAAGAATATACTACATATATATTACTTAAACGGACAGAAAGAAACTTAAAATTGAGATAAATACTATGTATGAAATATTTATTGCAAAGCTATTTTATAATTACGTGTAAATATTTCTACGATTTCGATATTTTTTACATGGACCTTTTTAAAACACAGATACAAATGCAACATTCTTAGTTGTATTTAATAATGAAGCAGCCCAAATGTTGATTCATGTAACTGTTGCCAAATATGCCAAATATTATACTCAAATATTCAAAATTATTTGTTTTCAGATTCTATAACATTTATCAATTTACGTTTGAAAAATAATAAATCAGAATTTTCAGCCGCTTAACTGTGATAAATTACGTTAGTGATGTAGTTGATGCATTCAAAGTTGTACTTGGTTTAAGACATAACAATAATAATAATAATAAAAGAAAAAGATGAGAGCATCAAAATCTTTTTAAAAATATGATGTGGACATCACATGACTTCCTTGTACGGTATATTAAATTATACACACATTTTGTTGCACTTCATTTAAAGTTATTTCCACGAGTATTTTTAACTTGAATAACCGATCCGTCAAAGCAAGTCGAAAATGACATTTAAAATTGCAAATGTTGAAATTAAATACTACTATTATTTACGTGTTTCGCCCTAAGGCACTATTCGAAAGGGAGGGATACCTTCTTGGAGGACATTCTAAGGGAAACTGGCTCGTATTAACACGTTACACACGGAGAAAACCACGAATAGGCTCATGCCGTTCGTGGGATTCGAACCTCGGACCGAACTACCAGTGTTAGGGACTTTACCGCTCGGACGCTGGTAAACCGAAATTAAATATCTCTGTCAATTTGTGTCATACGGGAATCAAACTTGAGCTTAGGATATCGTTGTAACAAAACCGGAATTTCAACATAAAACCAAAAAGCCAACAAGTTTGAGAAGTGCTCGTTTGAGTTTGTTATCATGTTAAGTTTTGTAACATCTGTCAAAAGTGTTTTAAGTTCCGTTTAAGTTTTTACATTTAAGTCTAATCTTGTTTTAATAGTTAACCTTACCATAGGCGACTCGATAAGCATTAGATTAACTTCTGTCGAAGCCGTTAGATGGTAAGGGAAAGTTATACCGCATTTACTGGCGTAATAGTCGCACTTTATTTGCCAATTTTTCATCGTGGAAAATCTAGGTGCGACTATTATGTACACTTTGACGATTTTTTCTGCTTCAAAACGGGGATGCGACTATTACGTGAGGGCGACTATTACGCGAGTAAATACGGTACATTATAGTTCACTATAGTAGAAGTTGTAATCTGATCTTACATTTTATAATTTATTTAAAACACAAACCTGGAGTTTATCGATGGTTATAGCATTTCCTGCAAGCAGGATACTTTCAAATGCAGACCGGACATCTGCCGCCATTACGGCGTCACCACATACGTATATATGACCTCCTTCAGATACAGAATCCAAAACCAGCTTAGACTCCTTTTTAAGTCTGTCTTGGACATACACCTGAAATTGAAAAAAATTAATAACTGTCTAAATTTGTAAAATATTTGGAAACTATTGTGTTTTGATTAAGGTTTCTTTCAGATGTCTGACTCATTATTATTTCAGGATATTTCAGGTATCTGAGACGGGAGGTTTACTTAGCTAATTATGGCAAAATATTAAAAGGCTTAAAATTGGCAAAGCAGCAATCTTGTGTTTGGCGTAGATTTAGTTAATAAAACAATCAATTTCGAGGGAAACCAGGTACAGGTTCCTCTTCTTCAGGAGTAAAGAAATCTGTAAGACTCAGTCTTGCAGGTTTCTTTGCTGCTTATGAATAAGGACCTGTGCATGTTTGCCGTCGAAATCGATTGAGTTCTTGACTAATCTTGATCTACGCCAACTTAATCTACGCTACTAGCTCGTATACACATTACACATGGAGAAGACCACGAAAACGCCCACGCAGCCATCCCGTTCGCGAAATTCTAACTCCGGAAGCAGCTAGGCGAAGAACTAGTGAGCTAAGCGAAGAACATTGGTAGTTGCAGAACAGACAAATGAATGGATATGTATTCAAAATCTAGAAGCGGCAGCAGAGAAAGATAAGTATGATACTAATTTCAAAACGGAATCATTCTATAAAGATAAATTTATTTTACATAAACTATAATATTTGATATATTTAGAGAACATACTTCAAATCCTACTAAATAAATAGCAGAATAAGTTAAAAAAAAACATTGAAGTTTGTGTTAAAAAAAACATTCTGAGGAAAGAAACCGATTTACTTTTGATTTATTGGCTAAATTATTCGATGAAGTTTTTTTCTAAAAAAAAAAAAAAAAAAAAAAAAAAAAAAAAAAAAAAAAAAAAAATGTGAAGAAATTATTTCTATGAAGTTATTTCCATTCTGTTAGGTACTTTATACTTTTTCGAAAACAAAATCAACTATGATGAAATGTTTACATGTTCGAAAAACAAAATCAACTTTCATGAAAGAACTTATTAGTATAATAATAATAATAATAATAATAATAATAATAATTTTGAAAAGATTCGTTTCGCAACATTTTTTCTCACTCGAACTTGAAACATCTCCGTATAAGAAAAAAATTCGTTATTGGTATATAAATATGGCAGTTCTATATCTCCCGTTTTACTGCTCCGATTGACGAAATTCAAATTGCGTTTTTCATGTCTCGAAAGCGTGATTTAGGATATATATTAGTTTTATATATAGCATTGTTCTAAAATAGGTATTTTGACGCAAAATCGGACTTTTTTTTTTAAATGACGAGCCAAGGTTTTTCCATAATTCGATTCTACGACTCAAATTATGCCTAAATATTAAATTTATTAACATTTGGTGCGAAGTTTACGGAAAAATTCAAGCATTTATCTTGGCGCATTTTTTTCAGTTTGCTCCAAGAATAATTCACTGGGCGAACTTCTTAATTTATAGCAATCTATTTATTTGCCTTTCCTTTTTTTCATTGTACACGAGCAGAAAAATGGCCGTCCTTCATTACTTTCAAATAATTTTAACAAAGTGCGTAAACCACAGTTGGCGCTGCTACCGTTTATAACAAACATGCATAACTTCAAAACGCTCCACTATGTAAATTAAAGTATATCGTAGGAAATTTTAAATAAAAAAAACTCTAAATTTTGCAGATATGCTTAGAAATACATCCGTTTTAAGATCATGGTAAAAATGTTGTAGGCTATGATTCAAAACCTTTTCGAAAACTTTATAAATATATTTCAAAATACAAATTTTAAAAATAAATCATAAAAAATAGGCGAATTTTATTTAGAATGAACCTCAATTTCGAGATGGGAAAGGAAGAATCAAATAAGTTTAATAAAAAAATAGATATTAATAAATATGTACCAAATTCAAGTACCATGGAGGTGCTAAAATTTTGAGAGCTCATGTTTCAAAAACTACTCGTGCGATTTTTACAAAACTTGGCAGTTTGGCATAATGTGAGCCTTAGAATCGAAATATGGAAAGCAATTGGCGTGTGTTTTCAGAAAAAGTCCGATTTTGTATTAAAATACCTATATGAGAACAATGCTGTGTATAAATCTAATACATATCCTAAGTCGCGTTTTCGGGACAAGAAAAACGCAAGTTAAATTTCGCCAATCGACCCAGTAGAACGGGAGATGTAGAACTGTCCCATTTTTATTTTTGCTCAGTGTACATTTTCCTTTTGATAGCAAGCTATTGAATAGTGTTCGCTGTAGTTACGATGGCCTCATTTCTGTGGAGCAACCAGACACCAGCCTGCTTTTATATAAAAGTTCTTATGCTTCAGACAGAACCAAGTTTACCTTTAAATGATGTCCAAGTCGAAAGAAATTTCATGTAGATGCATTTTTAAATAGGAACACAAAGATTCTCATAAGTCAGAGTTATAAAAAGGATGCCCGTCTGTCAGTTTAAGATCTATGATTTGAGGCTAATGAGTGCTAACAAAAGTGTCTGAGAATTTCACAGTTTCAATATCATTGATGGATTTGCGAGCAGTAAGATTATTTTGAATAAACTCTTCAGCTTGAGAACAGTCATTTTCAGCGTGTTCCATTTAAAATGCGTGCATCGTGTTGCACTTTCATACTTTTTAAGAAAACGCTGACGTCATGGTTTAATCTTGCAACCAAATTCTACTTCAAGAAAAGACTTACGCTACATTTTTGATGTTGCTTAATTTTCCACACTGACAGAAGTAATTCTTTCGCAATTTCTCCTTCAGCCACAAGAACTTTATTGTATTGTTGTTGCTAATGCTCGCTTGTGTAATCTATAGTCAGCCCAAGCCCACGAAATTCCTCGTGGCAAGAAACGTAAGTTTACTCCTGCCGTTGGCAACAGCCTTGAGCACCTTATAGGTAACAGTGTGATTTAGCTCAGTTCTGTTCCCAATTTTGCTGAAGAGCACCCCGGGGGAGGGGGGAATGGGTCCGAGGGTCTCCCATCCCTCTTCCCCTAGCACCAAATTTTCGAGAAAACTTTCGATTCGCCGTATATTTAGAGTATCACATGCCGCACGGACACTATACATTTACAAAAATCCATGCCAACTTCCGGATTCGAACCCGTGTCCTTCGGCACGGGTTCAGTCAGCGACGCTAACCACTATACCGGTTGGGAGGCCTATACTGTGGTCATGTGTGTAGGTTAATCAGTTTTGGAATACAAAACTTTCAAACTCTTCAGCTGTTGGCTGTTAATTGTCTTTTCCTTTTTTCTACTTTGGCCCATTTCCTGTGCGATAGTACTATCATAGCATCACACATTTTAAAATATTCTGAAATACTTTTTACATGTGACCATGGAACAAGATGACATTCTGCGTTTCCAAATCCTAAATGGGCCCACCAGCGGCCGAGCGGTAAAGTCGCTGAACTGGTAGTTCGGTCCGAGGTTCGAATCCCGCGAACGGGCTGGCTGCATGGGCGTTTTCGTGGTTTTCCCCATGTGTAACGTGTATATGAGACAGTTTTCCTTAGAAAGTCCTCCGCGAAGGCATCCCTCCCTTTAGGCAGATAGCTCTCGAGGCTTTGCCATAATCAAATAACGTAACGTAACCAAATCCTAAATAAGAAAACAGTGTAATTGGAGACATATTCATTTCTAATGGTTTTGTAAATAACTGCTTAACACAAGTGGTATATATTGAAATTTACATTTAAGAAACATATCTGTCATCCGCTGTTTGTAAATTCAAATTTTGTCTGCTCACCTTCGGTTGACCAGGTTCTCTAGAAAATACCGTGAAGACACCTGCAATTACTCCTTCCTTGACCAGAGTTGCCAGTTCTTCGTTATAAAGATTGTCAACTGTAGACTGCCGACAACCGAAAAACAAATACATGGCACCAAAGCATTGTTTTGAAGATTTGTTTTCTGACGGTTGTTTCTTTATCATGGCCTCCCTTTCTTGCCAGAAACTTCTGAAAGGAGCGATGCCACTTCCGGCACCCACCATGATAACAGGTGCCATCGGATCCTCTGGAAGTCGAAATCTTGTGGCACTGTAATCAAAAGTTTCAATCTGAGATTAGAATAAAATTGAACTACAATATGAAGCAACATTTTTTTTTTTTAAATTAACATCAGTGAACATATATATTTTATTTTCAAGTATTGAATTACTGAGTAAGCAGAAAACTTTCTGGTATAAAAAATCTGATGGGTAAACCAAATGACTTCCTTGTACGGAATATCACGTTATACGCATTTTTTGCTGCAATTCATTTAAATTTATTTCCTCGAATTTCATTAGAGATATATTTATCATTCAATTAATTCATTTCTCATTTCGCGGCAAGGCGAAAATACATATAACCTCAAAATATCTTTATTGAAAATTGAAATATACAAAAAAATGTTAAACATTAAATGCAGTTGAAAAGATTTTTACAATTAAAATACTCTTTCTACGGAAAACAAGCAATTCGCCCAGCGGGCGAGAAGGCAGATTTTTCGGTGCACAATACTGATAATTCTGTTATTTATTGCGGATTCCTTTACCTTACCGATCCATTCCAGGACCTTAAAATGGCCAACAAGAAAAAAATTGTCTTTGCATTTAGAAACATTTCTCATAATAATGATGCAGAAATAAAAATGGGAATTGAAGTCTATCAGATGATCTGCAAAAGGATCCTCTCAGCGTTACGGCGGGAAAATTCCGTATAGAAGGCTGCCTTCTATATTTATTACAAATAAAAATTTCTGCTAGCTTTTAATGTATTTGATTTCGGTTTGGATGTATATTGGAAGAAAAGGAATCAAGATACAAAATAAGAGATTCATTTTTTAATTAAAATAAAAAAAAATACCACTTATTCATGACATTTTAAGGAACTTTGAAATTTCAGGGCAAAACTCGTAACGCTCGGAGGGTCCGATATATGAAAATGTAGTAGCTACTTGAAGCACTGAATGTTCATTTTTAAAACAATAACGATAACGTTTACTAACCTTCTAATACAGCAAGGTATTTCTTCGGTTGGGAAATTATTCAGGTAAGAAGTGCAAACACCCTGATGTACTGGCCCTTTGTTGTCTAGAAAAAGAGTATACAATAATCATATTCAAATCTTCCAGTGCAGCATCTTTAAGATTTTATGAAATAATAAGTATAATTAGAAGTTGAGTATAGATGCTTTATTTCAGAATTCATGCAACTGCTTTATTACGAAAACTAACACCGCAAATCATGTTATCAAAAAACTTGTAAATAAGAACTTTGACTATTTTGTTTAATCAATAAAATCAATAATATTCTACAAATAAACAAAGTATCCCAAATGAAAGTATACTCACACGCTTTAAGAATGTTCTCTTTAGATTACTACAAAGGATGCGAAGGCTATATGCTTCAGGAAAAAGACGCCTTCACAGAGGGTGTTTGAAAGAAAAGTGGCTAATATTCTCGTTACATATAAGAACAAGTCTCGATTAACTCCCAAGCAAGCCAGCCCGTTCGTTCTCCGGGACTTGATGGCGGGTTGGGTTTACGAGTTCAGCAGTTTTGCAGCTAGGCCACTGGTGGATCGGAAGTTCAGTAAGAACAATCTCACTAGAAGGTACTGAAATTGACCTTCTGCAGCCTGCAGATACAATTCAGTTCTTTTTAGAATTGTCCAATGCCAGTTTTAGATGAGTTTATTTCACGTGAAATTTTGTTTAAAACTCATCTTGAGAAATGAAAAGTTAGGCTTTGCATACGACTCAATGACCAAATTCTTTACGTCAATGTAAATACCATCTTTATATACTGTATGTCTTCAACACTAATTTGGTGTCATGTTCAGGGGGGAAAGTGTAAATCAGTAACAAGATTTCCTATAGTCTGACTATTATAAAATTATCATTCTTCCTGTTCAGTATAGCTGCAGAGGAGGCATCTTGCAAACGCAATCGGTTCGAGTTCGAATCCCGGAGAAGGCATTGTTGTTTATAAATGTAGATTATCCTTGCTGCATGGGCAGCACTTACCTATTGAGCTGAAAGTCCTTTCGAGAGGATGGTGACATGCAAAGAGGGTAAAAGACCGTTAGACTCTTCCCCTAGGTGTTCAACATCAAAACTGGAACGGAACTGGGCAAATTCACACTATCATCTATAAAATGTGCAACCAGAAGCGAATTTTTTTCTGCCTTGGCTACAGTGAATTAGCGGATCTCATCTAGGCCATTTTCAAACCAGGAAGAGCAGTCACAAGAATAACACGGAGTTATCAAAACACAATTACAATAACAAGATGCCCTTAACACTATGAACGAAAATCAAAATAACACGGTTTTAGTGATTTGATTTGAATATACTTTTATTTGGGTGACAACTGATACTGAAGATTCATTACCATTTATTTTCTTCACTTACAAATGTTAATTTTTGCATATCTTCATTAATTCGTCGGCTAACTTATTTCGTTATGAAAACGGGATAAATTTAAAATGTATGTCATACCTTGCATCCTATAGGATACCAAAGTCACTGTGATATGAACTTCATTCGAATTTGCAAGTTTGGATGAGCTGATACTATAGTACCGTGGCTGAAGCAGAGGTAATTCGGAAACCAAAAGAGTAGGGTCTAAGTGGATGGACGGAAATTCTTCTAATACCTCTGCGAGGTGGGGGTATTTGTAGGCCTTCCACTCCTGATAATCATCAGTAACCTAAAAATAAGAATAAATTATGATTCTTTTATTCAATTGTGTCTTCAGTCAGCTTGTGCAGGTGAACAAAAGAGGGATATTTAAGATTTCTAGATATTAAGCTAACTAGTGGGCGTAATTTCAATTAAAAATCTGCATAAAATTGGTACTTACCTAATTTTTATGGGCCGTGTAAGTTGGCGGAAATTCCTCCAAATTTACGGCAACAATTCTACCGAAAGTGTGAATGAGCAGATCGTTCTTTATTTAGTTAAATAATCACAGATCGTTCTAATTAGGCAACCAGCAGATAAAGTACACTAGGTAGAAGGGAGTCATAGATCTGGGCTATTTGTAACCCTTAACAAGGTTATTTATGCCCCAACTCGTAGAGACGATCCAAGAAAACATAACCACCAGTCAACCCGGGAGGACAAAATTGCACACAGTCAAAGTTTATGGCGCACAAGTCAGTGGTGACCGGCAATAGCAGTCGCATACAAAGAGAGCGAAGTCAGGTCAAAGACTATCCCCCAATGTTTACAAAGATGAGCCAAACCCACAAAGATAACCTTCAATACCAAACAATGCAAGCAACGTACCCCCAAGAGGCAGACAAAATAGTAAGGGGCAGACAAAATAGTAACAGTACAGTCCCTGCCGAGAATGACTTACCACCGAAGAATCAATGGTACCAGTCACTGTGAAGTTTGATTTTGTACCCCAGGAAGCGATTCTGTCAAAGTACAGGTCTTAGCCAGAACACCAGGGTATGCCCTGCAATCGACCCCTGGTAGAAAATCAACAGATACAGATAACTTGCGAATACAGCATCCAAAATTTCTTAAAGGCATTTGAAATAGCAACCACACATCCATCTTCTTTGTGAATACCGAGCCGCATAAAATCGTTCAAATACGAATCTAAATGGTGACCTGTGATAAACAACCGGCTGTTTCGCGGTATCCTACATTGCGATATTTTCCCGAACTTCAGAGTCTATAATTTTTTGAATATGCGCACCAATATAACTAATCACGTAATTTTGTAAACACTCCACTACTTGTTGCTCTGTAGGAAAAAGGTCCAAAATTGTAATTTTTTTCTCGGTCAGATAAAATCAAAGTGACGATTTTATGAATGTGTTGTAAAATCACGTTCATCCATTACTGGTACTAAATCGCCAATTTGACGATAGTATTTTTTTTGTTGAAAATGATCGATAGGAAGATATATAAGTACCATTAAATTTAAGCCTTCCCGCAAATTCACGCATTTGTGTATTAATTGCATTACAGTACAATGCAAATTCGTTCAAACACAAATTTATGAAATATTTATTGACTTAAAGATCACAATATTTATTACACACACACATATATAAGGAGTGTTCAAATAAAAAGGTACGAAACGATGCTGTGGATATATTGAAGTCTATTCACAAGCAACCACCAGAGGCCTGAGCACAACTATCCCACTGTTTCACGAACCGAAGAATTCCCTCGTCCCAGAATTTCTGTAGTTGTGACAGGAGCCAGTTCTCCACTGTGTCCTTCAATTCGTTGTCCGAATTGAAGCGTTTTCGTTTGAGATGCTATTCCTCACCAAGTCGTTTATCTTGTCGATGAGTTCGGATGCGATTACCGTGTTTGCCTGGCCTGGTCTCGGGTCATCACAGAAATACTATAGAACTTCACGAAAACTGGCATTCCACTTTCTGACTGACTTGTCAGACACAGTCTCTCTCGTATACGATCACCATCCGGCGATGAATATCGCCGGTTTAAACTCTTCTATAGTCAGAAATCTGATAGCACCTTGCTGCTCCTCCATTGTCGAATTTGGTCATGTGAACGACATGATGTCCTCACACTCACTGCCCCATTAATTGGACGGAACACACAGTTGCCTATTTCTCTCCTGCGCCATGTACGTGCGCCTGCACATGCGCAAAACCACGCTGGACACTACATTCGAGTTTTTAAATAGCTCACTACTTCATGCCAAAGCGGCATATTCAGATTTCAACCGGTTTATTTGTTACGACGTTTCGTACCTTTTCATTTGAACACTCTTTATATTTTTGATAAAGTCTCAGAAAATATGCAGCAAAAAACAAATTTTAGTTAATTCATTAAAAAATCAAACTTTATCTTGCCTCTGATAATCTTTTCAACCTGTATTTATCCCATGGATTACTTGCCATCTCTGCCAAATGGTAAAGTAAACTACTTGTCGGAGGAGTTGTGATGTCTAGATAATTTTTCAAGTATGTTCTTAGACTTGCAGGAGGAAGACGATCAAATAGTTTCCACATACCACCTATAAAAATTTTTGATTATTGATAGATGAGAAAATTTATTTAGGATGAACAGAACTTCCTTCAGACAGTTTTTCCTAATTACCTCTTAAAACGGGACCTTAGTGGTCAAGAATTTTTCTAATTGAGCTGCAAAATTTTTTAATTTAATAAGCAAGAGGAATGTTTAAAAGCTAATGCTAAAAAAGAATCATTTCACACTATAGTTCCTTAGCAGAATTGTAAAATCATGTCGCAATTAGAAGCAATATTAAAGTAATAAAAGCTATCTCGTAAGAACTAAATGTAAAATTTATAAATCGAGATGACTTCAAAATCAAAAATGGGTGATAAAAAATAAAGAAATTTTAACGTACAAAGAATTAAAAAAAAAAAAAAAAAAAAAACCTCTTGTAAAAATTAAATGCGTTTCAAATACACAGTAAATATGTACACAAAAATATTTGCAATAAATGGTAAATAGCTTAACTCGAGGTTTGAGCCGGATTTATCAAGGGAAAAGCGGCTCAAAACTCGAATCAAATTAATACCTACAACGCGTTTCGTCAAACGATAATAATTGAGCCTCTAAACGTAATTTCACTAACAGAATAATCCAGCTCAATAATCTAAAAAAAAATTAGCAAGTCTCAATTATATCGCTTCTTTTCCCAACGCGCGGTAATATGTCATATATATATTCTCATACATATATATATATGAGAAATGAAAATAAACTAATTTGGAGCTTGAAAATATTTTGGAAAACTTTACTAATTCATTCATTCATTTAATAACTCGCCGGATTTCAGATGATATTTAAGTTCTCAAAACTTAGGTGCAGTTTGCAGTAAAGTTTAGTAATTTTATATTTAAGAGTTAAATTATATCACACAATTAGCTCTCTAAAAATAAGGTAGTCTGGCAGATTACCGTTAGAGCTGCTTGTAGTATGAAATATGAAACGGAGAAAACGTTTTGGCATTTTGTGGCGTTTCATTTAATAACTAACTTTACTAATTCATTCATTCATTTAATAACTCGTCAGATTTCAGATGATATTTAAGTTCACAAAATTTAGGTGCAGTTTGCAGTAAAGTTTAGTAATTTTATATTTAAGAGTTAAATTATATCACACAATTAGCTCTCTAAAAATAAGGTAGTCTGGCAGATAACTGTTAGAGCTGCTTGTAGTATGAAATAGAAACGGAGAAAACGTTTTGGCATTTTGTGGCGTTTCACTATAAACGGCGTTTTACTTTTCAAATTGTTGCCACCAAATATTACAGCCCACATTATATTAAAAAATAACTAATGAAGAATCTGCATGAATGTGCGTATGTTTCTCGCACTGTGAGAAAAAAATGGTACTTAGAGACATAAAATTTTGAGTAAGGCATTATTTCACTCGAACATAGGCATCTGAAGACAAAATTTGAAATTTGGAATTTGTTAAGAAATTCAACGATTTCAAAGCGAGCAATGGCAACACTGTACGAAATAAAAAACATTTTTATCTCCAGCCCGCGAGACTGTGTATCAGAAATTCTAAAGATATGTTCTTTTAAATTATTTTGCGATATTGGAGTTGAATTGAATTTTATGGTTTAAGTGCGAAGAACATGGTATTTAATATATAAAGGTAACACACAAAACATTAAAAAAGCGCCCCTTTGGGCGTAATATTAAATCTGACAAGCTTTCAGATTCTTTTTTTATTTATTTTTTCCTGTTCTATTTTATTTTGCTAGTATTTGCATTCACTGCCATTTGCTAAGTTGTTTTATAAGAATAACATTATGTCTTGATCTGGCCATATATATTTACTACATAAAACTAGTTGTTGGACACATCCATAAGCAACTCTTATTCCTACCTTATCTGCTTTGGCTTTAGCCTGAGATTTTGCATTTGGATGAATCGTCTATTCCTGGGATGTTAGTTGTAATCTCAGACGCTTCCAGTAGAGTAAATGAGTGTTCTTCGTCAAATTTGGGGATGGTGCGGCTATACCTTATGTGCCTCCGGTAATGCACATTGTGCCAGCTTTGCTTCAAAGCTGTATCTATACTTCTGCTTACGGTTACCGAATGAAGGTTTTTCTGTGCTGACGTTTGACCGGTTCCCAAACAACTCCCTATATCGCGTTGTGATCACGTTTCCGACTTTGCATTACTATATAAGGTATATCTCCCGCCTTCTTAGCAAGCCTTCGTGGTGTAGTGGTTTGCACGCGTAATTGAGAGGTCCCCGGTTCGTTTCCCGGCGAAGGCGTTGTTAATTTTTCGCCTTTCCCGCTTCCAAAATACCTAATGTCTCTACAACTATCTGATTCAAATTCGTTCTTTGAGTATCCTACCACTCCCAAAAGTTTGTACACGAGGTAATGAATCACCTTGTATATCCATATGTATTCTTGTGTATTTATATGTATGTATGTGCAGCCGATGGGTTGCTAACACCAGGACAAGGCCTTGAGTCGGTGACATTTTATCATACTGCTACAAATTTATTTCAGTAGTGTCTGAGAGGACAACATCTTTGAATTCCGATGATTTATTTCTGGCAAAAAAGACGATAAAGCAATTTTCCTAACGTGAAAATGACTCAGTTTATGTTCTTCACGAAGACTTATCTTCTTGCACAGTTAGCTCTCATGTGCTTTGCCATGTTCAATTAGCGAAACTACCCAAAAGACATTTAATATTATATTTGAATTCAAAACAAAGAATTTCGGTTTCATTATATTTGAATTAAAGACAAAAAATTTCACTTTCATTATCGATTCGGTATTCCAAAATCATAATATGTCTTCAATTTTATGAAGAAAAGTCAAAGAAAATATGAAAAAAAAAAAAAAAAAAAAAAACTTTAATTCAACATAACAAATAAAAATAAAATTCTTTTTATCTTTTAATGAAAAAGCGAAATTTTATTTTAATCATTTTTACGGCAAATTAAACCTTTTCATTTTTGTTCGTTAATTTGTTCTTAAAAAAAAAATTGTAGGTTTATATTTATTTTAACTAACATTTATTTTAAGTTTAAACTATCTTTCCTGTCAAGCCTTACTTTCCCCTGGAACTGCCAATGCCAGAGTATGTAAATTTTAGTAGAACGCGCAAGGATTCAAATTATCAGCGGAAGTATTCTGAGTTAAATAGAAAGGAAACGAGTTCGAAGTGTGTGCTATTCTTACTTCACGAGCGCGGAGGTAGTTAGCCAGAAATTGAAGAACCCCGCGTTTCGGCCTGTGTGCTTGCCTGGGAAGTAGTTGTTAATCGTTCAACGTGATCTTCAAGTTTGCTGAATTAGCAGCGGTATTGTAAAACGCGGTGAGGTTAGTTACTTTTAGAGAGCCTCGTAGTTAGAGTCTTGTCTTTAGTTTCTTTTCAGGTTATTATTTTTATTTTACCGCCGAGTTGGCGTAGTTTGTGAGCGTCAAGAGCACGCAATTGTAATTTATTACGTTGAATAAAAAGGGACTTAAACCCTTAACAAGACTCTGTCTTTTATCCAGTTTTCACAGTCACCTCTTGGTTGCGTGCAAGTTGGAGGCGCGCAACGTTATATTGGCGCCCGAACACTTATCGAACTGAAATGGCCGAAAATTGGATGGAAGCCGCGGGATAACACCAAGAAATGGCAAGCCAATTGGAAGGATTTGGATACCTGGTCCAGACTTTGAGAGCGTCAATCAAGCCAAACGTCAATTTCGACGGAAAAAATTCGGTGGCGATATTTCTAGAAGGCCTAGAAAATCACTTTCAGCTCTACCCTGTGCCTGAAAGACAAAAAGTTGCCATCGCCACATCCGCACTAAGAGGACAGGCCGCACTATGGTGGAAAAAAATATAGGCAAATTTTTATTAAGGGAATTTGGAAGCCAGACATATACATTTGAAAATTTCAAAAAATCGTTAGTAAAGGCCTTCCCCATAGTGAAAGATCGAGCAAGGCTGGAAGCCGAACTATATAGTTTCTATCAACGGGATATAGAAGAATTGACGGACTTTATTCTACGAAAAATTAAGCTGACGGATATGCTGTATGGGAAGAAACCCGATGCGGAGATTATTGAAATAATCTTACCAAGATTGTTACCCGCTGTTCAAGACTACTTTGAAATTAGAAACCCAAGCACATTGCAGGAGCTCTTCGAATTGGCGGTGAAGTTTCAAAATCGCAGAATAGCGGAAAAAGCTAGAGGGGCAAACGTATTCTCAAAGTACCCGAAGGAAATCTTCAAATGAGAAACCAGAAATGGAAATCGCTCTTATGGGGGAAAGAGCTATCAAGCTAACTCATCGAAACTCGAAGGTCAAGGCCCAAAAAGAAAATTTGAAAATAAACATCCGGGTACCCAGAAGGCACAGATTGAAAGGAAAGCTGTAAACGAGTAGAGGGGCCTGTGAAAGGGAGGGTCCAGACCCCGGAAGTTTTAAAAAAAACCCTCAAAAAGACATTTAAATACGGTCATCGTAAAAAACTCACATCTACCAATTATACAAGTCCTGGTTGGCGATGTACCAGTAGAAGCCCTCATCGATACAGGAGCAGAAGGAAATTTTATGAGTGAAAATTTTCTTCAAAAAGAATTTTTATAGGGTTACGATTATTTAAAAAACCAAAAATACGGAAATTATAGCGGCGCAAGGAAAAAACATGTCACTGCATCGGGAAATTATCATTAAACATACAGGTAAAAGAGGAAAGCCTCAAAGTATTAATTTTTGTAGTGAAAAATCTGCAAAATCCTCTTATTTTAGGTATGGAGTTTTTAAGGGCCGCGAGGGCCAAATTGAATTTTCAAGACAGTTCCGTGGTGCTGGAGATGGACCAGAGGGTGGTGGAACCTGTGGAGACAACCGCAAGTTGGACCTTAGCCATCTTGAATGACCATGAAAGTCAAGCCATCCAGCAAGTGGTGAGTAATTTTTTTTTCTCAACTTGTTTTCAGAAAAACCTGGAAACTGTCAAATAGTTACGCATCACAAGATACAATTAACTGCCGAAAAACCTT